AAAGGTTCATAGTTTTTTATGCAAACAATTTCCTTATTTGTATTTCTTTAGTCAAGATTGACAAGTTTTTTCATAACAAACTGAACACAGACCTTCCATCCAAACTTAACTTAATGTTAAACTTAATGTTAAAATAAAAAAAAATAATTAGTGTGATGTCGAGTGGTGGGCAATAACCACCACCACCATCCTTATGATAAATACTTACCTAAAATATTTATCACAACCAGTTTCTTTTCTTCTTCTATTGTTTCCTGAAGACATTTTAAAGCAATAAAAGATAATTATTGATTTGATCAACAAACGCGTCATTAATTATTTATTATTGGCACTTGGTGTTGCACAGTTTTTTTTTTGTTGACACGAATTGTTTTTTTTTTTTTCACAATTTATTTTTTGACAGAGTCCAAATATGACAAAACATGAGTCTCCTAAAGAAGATGTGTTAATAATAGAGGTACTATTTTTTATTTGTATTGATATATATATTTAGTTTATAAATATTTTAATTGAAATCAAAATTCGGAGCAGATCTTGCTGGGTATAAGAATCTCATCAAAATGATAACAAATGATTGGCATTTTTCTTTTCATAATCAATAATATTAATAATATTATTATATTATTATAATTACAAGATGTCAAGGCAGCATAACTAACTGTTACAGAAGAAACATTTCAAATATGCAATGTTTGATTATCAGAAATTTTAGAGACATTGAAGCATGCACACTGCCTTGAACATTTACAGCCATTCTCTCTCATCTTCCTCATGTATCTCACATTTTATAATGCTCTACACATGATTAAAGAGGATCCAACTTCTTCACAAGAAGTCTGTAGGCATGCTGAAAAATTCATGGAAAAGGAGAAGAAGCAGGTTAGTTGGATATGGAGATGTGATTGAAATGGTGGCTTCTTGCCAGGATCTTGCACCTCTTGAAGGGTTTGTCCCAACAAGAGTGGGATACAAGTTATCTCTACAAGTGGCTATGGTTTTTCTTTACCAGGCTCTTGTAACTCTTTTAAGATTTGTTCTGATGAGGGGGGGATACTAATCCCTGCAAGCATCTGAATTAGATGTGGTCCACAAACATTACTTCTTTGATAAAGGTCTACTAATCCTAGAGAAGGGATTGGTTATGTACCTTCCTTTATGCATAACAAAGAAGTGGACTGTTTGTGCGCTTTCCACATCTAGCCATTCTGATCTTAATTTTCATTCCACTAACTGGAAAATATTTTCTCACCTATTTTTCTTTCTGTTATAGTATGATACTAAAAAAGTCAATAGAATCTTCAGCAATGTAAGCTTATGGCAAATCTTGGATAATGTGAATGAGCCTGTAAAAAAAATGATATGTAGACAAGGATGCATTATCTACATTTCCAAAAAGGAAGAAAACAATTGATAGCATGCAAGTACCAAGTAAATAAGATACAACATGTGTAGTTTGTGCTGTTGTTATGATAACATTTCATTTACTCAATGTGCATTTTTGATTTTGTTTATAGAAAAGCTCAGCCAGGAACAGGCATTATCTCATGTCCCTCCATCTATTACATACCAGTATTTCAAGAAGTACTACATGCGTAGGCAGTGTAATGCCAGCAATTGTTAATTGTTGGATGGAATTTTTCAATATGGTAAATTGACACACCTTCAATCAAGAGCCAAGACTTGATGAGCCGAATTTTACAAAAAGCATACTGATACACATTGAGGATGATGATTACATTGCCATGACTGTTAATATTTTTTTGGTATTGAATTCTCTTTTGGGATCAGATTATACTTTTTTGAAGCAGAAACCCTCCAACTTCACCTGTAATGGAAAGCCAGATGCCATTTGCCATTGTAGAAACAAAATAATTGTCCCAATAGAACTCAAGAGGCAAATGGTTTTAGTATTAAATAGTGGACAGTTGGATTATCATTCCGATAGCAATACAAAGGATGTAGTTGATCAAATTTATTCCTATATGGCAGAACTAGAGCTTCAGTATGGTGTACTTTCCACCTATGATAACCACTGGTTCTTATACCGACCAAAAGATAATCCAACAGAGCTTCAAATTTCACTTACCTATTCACTTGATTCAACATTGCCAACAGTACTCAAAGCATATGCTTTTCTGGCTCATATTGCAAAGGATAATCCTTACTCTCCTCATCCTAGCATAATTCCTGAATGAACTAGAGGTAGATCTTCCTAGTAACATTGCCAAAAAATAGTGCATGTACCAACGTCAAAAGTTGCAGCCAGTATCTTTGACAAACAACCAAAAAATGGAAATAGAGACATTTAATAATTAATAAATATGATTTGTTTTCTCAATGGCAAAAGATTAACATATTCAAAAGTAAAAAAAAAAAAATATTATTATTGTTTTTTTTATTAGCAATAATTAATGAAATATTTTGATTTGATAACCATCCTAGATATTCATTCACACTTGAAATTTATATATATATAAATTGATTAATTATCTAATTAAATTCTTAATCTTTTTTTGTTTTTGAAATACACGCCAAAATTTCAAACACTCATCACCTAAAGTTGCTACAATTTCTCCCCCAGGGCTCAAAGCTGAGTGTAAAATACAATCTGAATGTGCATGCTTAACATCAATAATTTTCTTTAGTGAAGGATATTTCCAGATTGTAAATTGGAAATTTGGATCTCCATGAGTTGATA